TTGCCTGGAAAATCCCTGGACAGAGGAACCTAGCAAGCTATAGTCCATGGGATCACAAAAGAGTCGGACACGACTGACGCAATTTAGCACACATTTAGCACAAAAATACTTCGAAGTGTTTATCAGGAGGCATACAGTATTTCTAGTTTCAAAGAACACGAAAAAGAAGGTACTACACTTGAATAAACTTATCTCTCATTGTGAAGAGTTAAGGCATGCATCCACGTATTTTATGAATAAAGAATAATCTAAAACTCTTCTCTGTGTCCAAAATCTTAAAGAGGACACAGGCAGGGGCCTTAAGTACAAAAGAAAGTCCATTCTCTGGTGTGACAGGAGCATGGGAGGAGGGGGAATCACAGGCTTTGGCAAGTGAACTTGCTTTTCCTTCCTTCCTGCAAAGCAGTTCTTCTGAAAGGCAGACTTGAGTTTAAAAAGAAAATTATGTGCATAGTTTAAATACTTTTTAACATACTATCCACCTGAATGTTTGGGCTTTAATGTTTTCTATTTTGAAATTTTGCTTTGGAGGAGGAAGTGGCAACCCACTCGAGTATTCCTGCCTGGAGAATCCCATGGACAGAGGAGCCTGGCAGGCTACAGTCCATGGGGTTGCAAGACTGAGTGACTAAACCACTATGAAATGTGAGAACTCCACAGACCTGATGGTCCAGATCATGAACCCATGGAGAAACCATATGAAGCGCTTCATTATGGAACCAGGATGGCATTTCAAAGGACATGATCCTAATCCCTTTACTTCTGATTTTCTTACCCGTTTAACAGCTCCGGGACCCAGCACTTGGTGGCTGAGCTTAGGGGGCGACCTTGCTGCCGGCGCACCTGACTTACCTTGGTCTCTCTGGAGAGGGGTTGGGGCTGCGCGGAGGGGGTGTGCGGGGCACAGCGGGCTTCGGTGCGATGCTGGCTGCAGGGAGAAGGCCATGGATGATGTATTTCTGTGGATATGAAACCCGGCAGAGGTCAGCGGGATCATCTCTAGGTCCTGCGAGCAGCCCTCCCTGGGTCTGGGAGGGGACACCTGCCCTGCTCACCTCGGGATCTAGTTCCATCAGAAGGCCCAGTCCTCCCCCAACTATCCTCCACCCTATCTGGCAGGACAAGTGTGCCCACCCAGGGAGCTGCCCACTGTCCTTCGAAGGGGCCCTCTCATCCTTCCTTCCTCAGAAGAGCTTCCCCGACGATGACCCAGAGTCACCCTCCAGGACCCCACTGGACTCCCAGCACTGCCCCTGCTGACCCTACTCACTTGCTGCCCGCCCGCCTCCTCCCGCAGAACAGAAGCTTCCTGAGAGCAGGCAACCTACTTGTCTTTATCAACCCTGGAACTCTGGTACTTAGCACACTGTCTAACACCTGGTAAGGGTTAACAAGGATTTTAGGTCGTTTATCTTGAAGATAAACAGAGTAACAAACACTGGTTCTTACACACAATCAAAGTCAGACAGCCCTGCCTAAAGCTGAGTGTAGTCCAATCTTCATTTTCTGTGCACCAGCCATTCGTGTGAACCTACTAAAGGCAAAATGCCATGACAGCACTGAAGAAACCTGGTCCTCATTCTCAAGGAGTCCAGAGGAAAAACACCCAGCTGTTTATAATACGATACAGAATTACAGACAGCAGCACGGGAGAGGTAAAGACAATGTGCTGAGGTGACCCAGGGAGAGAAGGGCTCCTTCAGGTCTGAGGCCAGCAAGGAGACCACTGATGTCCTGTTGGAGAAAATCTCAGAGCAGTTAGATGGGGTCTTCAAAGATGCCCACTGCTTTCACACTTAGGAAACGGGGTAGAAAGACATTCCAGGAGGAAGGAGCAACATGAACAAAGGGATGAAGCAAAACATTAGTGACAGTGTGGTGAAAATAAATACTCCAGTTTACTGGACTACACAGGCATCTGAGATGAAGCGGCTAGAACAATTGGCTGGGGGCACAGTGAGGACTGTTTCCATTTAAGAGTCTTGATACCAGACTAAGGAAATCTTGTGACTTAGTGAGAAGCGCCCACTGAAACTGGCCCTGGGAAAGACTAGTCAGGTTGGGATAGGCACAAGGTACCAAGGAATGGGAGGCACAGCCAAGGGGAGGAGCCAGGGGACTGGAAATCGTTCAGGAGTGAGGGATGAGCAGACCTTCCAAATGTCTCCTGCAGCCTTCCCACCCCCATTCTCCCAGTTCCACGTGCACGGCCAACCCCAAGAGCAGGTGCTCCAGAGCCACGGCTGCTGGAGCAGCCATTCTCCAGAATGTATATTTGTCTGCCACCTCTCCTACCCCTCACTGCCTGGCAGAGGCTGAGGGACAAGAAAGCCTTTTCTTCACCTTTGAATCCCCAGGGGATAGCACCCAGTAGGTCCTCCAAAAAGGCCTTGTGAGCTTTGTTTATTTTTTTGATGGGGTGAATCTCCTATAGTAGGCTGAGTGTTTCTGCCCTGTACCACGATAATCACTTCCTAACTATGGTTCTCCTGCCTCAGTCTCCAAAACACAGGATGGTCCTATCTCAACCCAGCACACAAACTCCCGTGGGCAGCCCCCCTCTCTTGTTGACAGAGAAATGTCCTCTCGTGGCCCAGACAGCTGCTACGGCTGCTGTCCGCTGGTTCCTAGCAATGGCCGGCCCTCCTCATCACTACTGTAAGGGTATCTCCATGCCGCAGCACTCAAAACTGCCTTCCCATTTCCACACAGCAAATGATTCATCCTTTGTTGGGCTTTTGTATATGCTGTTTTCTCCACCTGGAAGTCTCCTTCCTTATTTCTCCCCAGGCCCAGGTCAACTCTCTGGGCTGACTTTGCTGCCCCTTCCCTGGTACCCACCGCGAGAGCACTTTTTGCCTTACCATTTTGCGCTGAGTAACTTATGGGTTTGTCTACCCTTTAGCCAGCATGGCCATAGGCTCTCAATCAATTATGCGGTATCTGGTACACAGACACAGTAGGAATTCAGTAACACAATAAAAACATCAATAAACACGCTGAGTTAGCAAAATCGCAACGGCAAAATATGCTTCAACTATGCCTTCAATGCTTCTCAACATCCACCTGCCTAAAATGACTTCCCTGGTGGTCCAGTGGTAAAGAATCCTCCTTCCAATGAAGGGGAAGCAGTTTCAATTCCTGGTAGGAAACTAAGGTCCCACATGCCTCAGGGCAACTAAGCCCACACACCACAACCAGAGAAGTCCTCACCCCTTGCAGAGAAGACCCAGCACAGCCAAAAAAAAAAAAAAAAAGACTCCAGCAAGTCATAGAGCTGAGAACAGGAGGCTGAGTTAGACATGCTTTAGGAATTCCAATTTGAAAGGGAGTTCAGGAGTACCCTTATCAAAATGCTTTCTCTGCATTTAAAGTACTGAGTTTATGGAGAACTGGATGTAAGCAGGTTTGGGGGTTCATCAGACAAGTATGAAAAAGAAAAACGGGAGGAAGGCGACTTGGGTGGAGGGTAGTGGTTATAATGATGACCTACGGAATGAGAAATTAGGACTGGGAAAGACAGCAATGAGGACACTGCTGGATAAATAGACCGGGGCACGGAGGGGGGTTGGGGGTAGGGTGTAAAAGAATTGTCGGTATCACGCTTACAAGTAGGAGAAGGGGTCAACGAATGAGCCTGGGAGTGTGTGCCGGCAGTGGCAGAATTGCCATGGAAGTTTTGGAGGGAAGCATTCCAGGCAGAAGAAAAAGTAAAGGCTGAAGGAACAGCAAGGCGGGAAGAGCTGGAGCGTACATGTGTGTGATTTGAGGGCATTGGGCACGAATCAGAATTGCATTTTAAAAGAATCCCTTTGGGTGTTTTGTGAAGAATGGACATAGGGAAAAGGAAGGAATGGAACCGAGAAACAGGGAGGACCTGCTGCAGCAGTCCAGGCAGACGCTAGAGGACGGGGTAGGAGCCGGGATGGCTAGTAGATGCACACGGTGGAGTGTACGTGGTGCGTGGCGGAGGGAGGAATCCAGAACGACACCCCACCGGGAACTAGAAAGTAGAGTGTCGGCAGGAGTGAACTCCCCGAGGCCCGAGCGAAAGTTACAGGCGAGACAGGGCGAGTCCTATCAACTGAGACCAACACTAGAATAGAAAATTAATGTTCTAAACACTAAACAGTTGGGCTTCTCGAAAGGAAAACCACTTCCTGTTGGGCCGCTATCTTGCCTCCATCCCAAACCCCAACCCCTCCGCACTTAACTCCCGGCCCCACGGGCCAGAACGCAGGCTGGGTGCAGATATACTTACATACTGCTTCTTGCGTCCACTCCGAAACCCCAGGAGCATCCTTGCTGTGGCTGATGGTCAGACCCTTACTGGACTGTACAGAAGATCGGAGCTGAGAACCACTCCCCAAAGTCTGCCGACGCCTCGAGTTGGCCTAGCCCCAGACGCCTTTTCTCAGCTACAGACTTCGCAACAACCACGTCTGCCATTGGCTCCGCTTTTGCTCCGGCCAATTAGAGCGAAGGTTACTTCACGTCCGTCGCTCTTGGCAACCAGCGGGTACCACCCAAATCCTCACGGGGGGGCGCCTAGCTGTCCATTCTCTTATTGGTCAGATCAGATGTCGATCTCTGAGGCCATAGCCTATCCGGCGCCGGGGGAGGCGGAGGGCGGGCAAGAGGAGAGAGTAGCGGGCGCTCAGGAGGCAACCCGGAAGTGTTGCTAAGCAGGTAATGTCGCGGGAGCCCCAGAACTGGTGCCGAGGTGGCCAGCTCGGCCCCCGCCCTGGACTGGACTAAGGAGCCACGGTGCGGACCGAGCCAGGGTTTCAGGGGCAAGACAGGTGACGGAAATAAAGTACGCTTCTTCCAGGACAGAACTCTCCTGGTTCTTAGACTTTGGTCTGTAATCCAGCCTTTTAAAGAACACTCTGCAGTCGGGCGCCTGCCAAAGAGGCCCGGGCTTCGAGTGAAATGGGCTGTGTGCTGGAGAATCTGCTTAAGTGCCGTCTTGCATTCCCCTCATTAGATCGAGGCCGCCGATGGAAGGCAACGCCCCTGATGGCACTGGCCCCATGCATGTACCATTTGGGCACATTGTGGCCAATGAGAAATGGCGCGGTTCGCAGCTGGCGCAGGGAATGCAAGGTCGGTGGGCTCCCTCTCTCACCTCACCCCACTTTTTAAAAAAGTTCCATCTATTGCCGTGTTTTCATCTAATGAACACTGCACTTATTTTCTTGTCTGTGTTTTAAGGGAAAATTAAACTCGTTTTTGAGGATGGCCTGACACCGGTAGATTTTTACTTATCTAGCAAATCCTGCCTTATTTACGTCACCGAAGCTGAGTTGGTGGCAGGAAATGGCTACAGAAAGAGACTTGTTCGGGTTAGAAATGTAAGTACTGAGTTAAAGAAATGGACTTCTTTCCCCTCCCTTGGAATAATCTGTATAAAACCATTGGCCATTGCACCTTTGGATAGCTGCTTAATCTTGAATGGAATTTTGTTACCGAATAGTTTCCTGTTTCTTTTCTTTTCTTTTTGAAGTCCAATAAACTTCAAGGGATTGTGGTTGTTGAAAAAACGCAGATGAGTGAACAGTATTTTCCAGCTGTACAGAAGTTTACTGTTCTAGATCTTGGGATGGTGTTGCTTCCAGTAGCCAGCCAGATGGAAGCATCCTGCCTCATTATTCAGTTGGTAAGTACCCATTCCTACTCCTCCACAATAGCCCTGGTTTAGGACTTTTGACTGATCTTCCTGGATCCTTTTCTGGCTCCTGCCCTTATTATCTGTACAATCCATGAAGCCAGTCTTTATCCATCTCTGGATTGGTTTCTAAAATCTTTTTGATGAATTTAAGTTCAGAGCTCCCTCTGCAGCTAGCTGAGCTTGCCGCCCTGTCTAGGCAAGCATATAACAAGGTGAACAAGTTGGAGACCTGATTTTACCTCTCAGGCTCTGATGACTCCTTTGTGCACTATTCTGCATTTAAGCTGGTGACATTGGCAGCTAGTGGCTACTTAGCCTCATCCCTGCGTATCTTCTGTTAAGCATCAGAAATTGTCTGCAAGTTCATGTGTTGTTTCTTTTAACCTAGTGGCTTTCTATTGTCCTCATTGGTTATTCAGCATGGTTTTACATTAGAATTTCCTGGGGAACTTTAAAAAAAAATTTTATTGGAATATAGTTGGTTTACAGTGTTGTATTTCAGGTATACAGCAGAGTGATTCAGTTACACGTACATTCATCCTTTTTGAGATATTTTTTCTCATATAGATTATCATAGAATATTGAGTAGAGTTCCCATACTATACAGTAGTTCCTTGTTGGTTATACACACACTATATAGTGGTGTGTGTATGTTAATCTTAAGATCCTTTTTATCCCTCTTCCCAGCCATGCCTCCCCCGCCCCAGTTTCCCCTTTGGTAACCAAAACTTTGTTTTTAATATCTGTAAGTCTGTTTCTGTTTTGCAAATAAGTTCCTTTGTATCATTTATTTTAAAAATTAGATTCAAAAAAAAAATTAGATTCCACACAGAAGTGAAATCATATGAGATTAGAATTTCCTGGAGAACTTTTAAAAAAAGTGATATATGAGCCTTATTTGAGACCAACTAAGAATCCAAACATAGGGGTCAGGCTTATGCATCAATTTTTGTTGTGCTGTTTCTAAATCTCCCCCTCTGATGTGCAGCTGGGGTTGAGAACCACATTGGAAATGCAAACAGCCTTGTATGGTTCACAAACCCTTCTCCAGACACTGCTCTTTTCTCTTGCTTCACTCTTCCTGACTCACTTTGATTTAACCTTGTTATTATGTGCCTTCCTGTATCCACCACTAACTGAAGACTGGGTTTCTCCTTTGATAGGCAAGCTTCTTCCAAGTCCTGTATCAGGCAGGTGGAGCCATCATGTAATCCTATACTACTGAAATGTTTCTTAGTGGACCATAGGACCATGTTTGAATTCTTTAGTGTAGGTTTTCATTGGTTTTATCCTAAGCTTTCTAAAAATTCAAGTTTTTGTAGATTAATTTTTACCCCTCACTCATTTGTGTAGTCATATTGTTTATCTCTTAATAATTTTACTCATGCCTGAAAAATTATATTCATGGCATATATGAGAACATTTATAGTGGTAAATCAAGCTGAACCACATGGAAAAACTAAAACTAAATTTCCGCAAAACAAAATGTTAAGAAAACCACAGGTCCTCTAGAGGGCGCTCATGTGCTTCTTTCATTTCCGCTCAGGTTCAAGAGCAAACCAGAGAGCCCAGTAAAAACCCTTTTCTCAGGAAGAAACGGGCTCAAGTCTCTGAGCCGGCGCTCCTCCGAAGTGTGCAGCAGATCCCAGGAGTCGGGAAAGTGAAAGCCCCACTCCTGCTTCAGAGGTTTCCAAGTATTCAACAACTAAGCAATGCGTCTATCCGAGAACTGGAGGCGGTAGTAGGACCAGCCGCAGCCCAGCACATTCATGCATTCTTCACCCAGCCCAGGTGAGGGCTCCTTTCACGGGCATCTCATCACGGGACTGCAGGATCTTGTTTTCTTTTCACACTAAGAAAAGAGTTCCTTGGAGAAGGAAATGGGAACCCACTCCAGTATCCTTGCACGGGAAATCCCATGGGGAGCCTGCAACGGTCCATGGAGTACAAAAGGGCTGGACACGGCTTAGTGACTAAACAACAACAAATGGCAGTTCTAGCCAATGTATGAGAAAAACTTGTAAGGAGTTGGGGGTTGGGGCTGAAGCCAAAATCCTATTGTTTACAGATGTGAATGTCTATTTAGAAAAACCAAAATAAACTGCAAGCAAATATTTAAACTAAGAAAAGAAGAGTTCCTTTTACCACAATTGGGGAAAGATGAGAAGAGGCCTGAATGGAACCTGCCAATTGTCCTGCCCCGTTCTCGGGCGTCAGGCATGTCCTTGGATTAGTGGGCCTGCCCCAGACGGCCTTGCCCACATCCTGCTAGCATGAAGTGGGCTGGTGGGCACTTTCCCAAGGGACCCTCAGACTTAGCAGAAAGCCACCTTGGGAGGATTTTAATGTGTGACCTTGACCTTATCTGTCATGGAAGGTGGCGGATATGACTGTTTAAAGGAAACAAACTTACAGTGAAGCACTGTTCCCATAAGCTCCTTGTTCCTGCTGGCAGAGCCACTGTTCTTCGGGTCTGATCTTAATATACCTGTGCTTTGAGGGCAGCTGCCAGTGTCAACAGACAATTGTATTGCCTTTTTTCTTCCTTTCTTCCTATCTCCCTTCCTGGTAGTTGCAGTTTGTTTATAATCCCTGAGCACATCTTCTGAACACAGAAGGCCTGGAGTCTGGAGTTCCCACTGTAAGATAAAAAGCCAGCGTGTGTGAGGGACGGAAGAATGTGTTTGTAAATGGATAGCCTAGCAACCAAAAGATGCACAGGACAGTGGCAGGGCCAGCTGAGGAGAGCCTGGGGCTAGAGACCAAAATGTGTAATTGCTCATCCGAAGAATAAATACACTGAACAACAACTACACACACACACACATTAGAATATACTCGGCCATCAAAAAGAATGTTGGGTCATTTGTAAAGATGTGGATGGACCTAGAGTCTTTCACGCAGAGTGAAGTAAGTCAAAAGAGAAAAACAAATATCATATATTAACGCATGTGTGGAATTCAGAAGAATGTTACAGAAGAACCTATTCGCAGGGCAGGAACAGAGATGCAAATGTAGACAATGGACAGGTAGACACAGAGAGGTGGGGATAGGATAAATTGGGAGACTGTGATTGACAAAATGCATGTCATGTGTAAAGTAGATAGCTAGTGGGAATTGACTATAGCAAATAGGGCTCGACTTCATGCTGTGTGGTGACCTAGATAGATTGTATGGGGTTGAGGGGAGGAGATCCAAGAGGGAGAGGATATATGTATACATGAGGCTTATTTGCTTCATTGTACACAAGAAACTAACATTGTAAAGCAATTATACTCCAATTTAAAAAAAAAAAAGACAAAAAAAATACAATTAAAGAGGCCGTACATTTTCAAGGACACTAAGGCATCTTGAAAGCTCTCAAAGTCCTATTTTGTGAAATGTTAGTAATTTTTAAAAACATATATATTTATATATTTATTTGGTTGCACCGGGTCTTAGTTATGGCACACTAGATCTCTACCTGTGGCATGCAAACTCTTAAGTTGCAGCATGTGGGATATAGTTCCCTGACCAGGGGACAAACCTGGGCCCACTGCATTGGGAGAGCAGAGTCTTAGCCACTGGGCCACCAGGGAAGTCCCAGTGATTTTTTTTATTACTTTTTTTTTTTACACACACACTGCATATTTCTTTCTTTCTTTATTTTTGGCTGCACTGGTACTTCGTTGTTGCACACGGGCTTTCTCTCGTTGCAGAGAGCAGGGGCTGCCCTCTAGTTTTGGTGCTCAGGCTTCTCATTGTGGTGGCTTCTCTTGTGGTGCACAGGCTTCAGTAGTTGCAGCACACGGACTCAGGAGTTGTGATCTGATGGCCCTAGGGCGCTCAGGCTTCCATCGTTGTGGCATCAGTTCAGTTGTCACTGAGTTGTATCTGACTCTTTGGGACCCCATGAGCTGCACCACGCCAGGCCTCCCTGTCCATCACCAACTCCCGGAGCCCACCCAAACTCATGTCCATTGAATCGGTGATGCCATCCAACCATCTCATCCTCTGTTGTTCCTTTCTCCTCCTGCCCTCAATCTTTCCCAGCATCAGGGTTTTTTCAAATGAGTTACCTCTTCACATCACGTGGCCAAAGTATTGGAGTTTCAGCTTCAACATCAGACCTTCCAATGAACACCCAGGACTGATCTCCTTTAGGATGGACTGGTTGGATCTCCTTGCAGTCCAAGGGACTCTCAAGGGTCTTCTCCAACACCACAGTTCAAAAGCATCAATTCTTTGGCACTGAGCTTTCTCTATAGTCCAACTCTCACATCCATACATGACTACTAGAAAAACCATAGTCTTGACTAGATGGACCTTTTTTGGCAAAGTAACATCTCTGCTTTTTAATATGCTGTCTGGGTTGTAGGGCTCATTAGTTGTGGCTCAAGGGTCCCAGAGAGTGCAGGCTGAAGGAGTTGTGGCTGCCTGGCTCTAGGGCACTTGGGCTTCAGTAGTTGGGGCACCCAGCTCTAGGGCACAGGCATAATAGTTGTGGTGCAGGGGCTTAGTTGCCCTGCGGCATGTGGAATCTTCTCGGACTAGGGATCAAACCCATGTCCCTTGCATTGGCAGGGAGAATCCTATCTACTGCTTCACCAGGAAAGTCCAAACTTTTAAAAATCAAGTACAATAAAACTTCTGTGCATTAGGGTAAAAATGATTTGAAAGAGGAGAAAATGAAAGTGAAATCAAAGTGGAAACCATTAACTGAGGCAAATGAATTTATTTAAATATTTATACAAAAATATCAGTAAGAACAGTGGATACACTCTCCCAAATATGGTTGCTTCCCTTTTGACATTACACACTACAATATTTTAAGTTCATTTATTCTCAAAATGACATTGCAGTGCTATATCTGTAGAAGCTATATAACTTATACTATGTCAACAGTGAATCTTAGAACCACTGTGTCATCCAACGTATAGCAAGACAAACCAATGTCATTTTACAAAGTCAAATAGAGCTCTAAACTTGAGTCATTGACATCTTGACCTTGTACAATGTTTTTAACCCTTCCTAAAGACTCTTAAAATATACAATTATGTACTTTCTACTTTAAACAAAATGAGAAATGTTTTGAGTATCAAACAGTATATTATCTACCTTGTAGACGGCATCTTCATCTAACACTGCCACTGTGTTAGCGACTTAATTAAGTGACATGAAATGGAAGAAAAACTGCTCCTAAATTTTTTTTTTAATCTAAAGTCATGACAAATTTGGCACTAGACTTTATCTGGAAATAGCATTCATATTATCTACAAATAATAGTAAAATCTTGTTTTAGGTTAATGATTCCCCCTTAGGCAGCAGGTCTTTGGAACAGTTTTTAATAACACTTAGTCTAGCATTATAGTCCCTCCCCCTGCCTGGATTTGGGGTCATCTGAATTCTGAGTTACGGAATTAATCTATGTTTCACCCAAGCCTAAAAACTTACTAATAAGACCCATATAGGAAATCCTAATTGAACTCTGACAGTAAGTAACAAAGAGTCCTAATTCTAGTCTTTAAAAATAGCCATATTTCCACGTTATTCTATTTACAATACTTTATATAATAAATAACTTGCAGCAGTACAGTGAGACTCCCCTAATTAAGTTTGTTTTCCACAAGCTTCTAGAGGCTTCTTGTTACTTACACTCAAGGACATATCAATTGTATATTTATGCTACGAGAAAACGGGATTTGAGAATATTGAGAACTCTTCCTCTATGGCACAAATGCGAAGGCCCAGTCAGCACGAGCAGCGCTCTCGCTTCTTCACGTCAGTACAAAGAGCTGTCGGTGTTGAGAAGGCTGAAGGGAGAGGAGAGCTTTTTCTTGACCGGAGGCCTCGCGACACCAACCGATGGGAGGCACAGGGTGCTCGCCGACTTCTGTCTGTTCTTGTTGGTGCTCCAGCTCAAAAACGAGAGCTTTTTCGAGATTTTCTTGGTTTTATCAGTTTTATCATCAACATCTATGCCTAAGCAGATCATGGAGTAAGTCTTCTGCATTCCCACAGAGTATGTGGCACATTTACTATGCTGTACACAGAAAAAGAACAGTTAAATGGTTATTTGATCTTCCAAATAATGAATTCTTTTTATTCTCAAAACCTGTCTTGATATGCTGTGATTACAGTGAAATGACTATTTTAGGCAGACATACTTTTCTGTTATAGGAAGTAACTTATATACCTGATTTAAATTATGAAAGAATGGTTAGATCCCATTTAGCCATTTTTAAAGTGTAGTTAAAAATGGTTAGAAATCAAGATGTCAGAGAAATGACTGCCAAGTTTTGACACTCACATTCTGCACTCGTGGCATCCTCTTTAAGTGATACATTTCTGAGATTCAGTGACTAATGCTGATATAGGATTAGGTTCTTAAGAACAAGAACAATTCTTAAGGAATATGCTCAACAGTAGTCATTTAGGCTGGGGACCACTACTCCCTTTAAAGGTTATTACATTTGAAAAAGTAATACACACTTATGGTCAATAGTATGAAAATGCATCAGGTGGACAGTAGGTGTCCCTCCCACCTTTTAGCCCTGTCCACTGAGGTAACCACTATCTGTTACATTTTTAGAAATAACATTCATATACAGGTATTGATATGTTAAGTATACAGCACCATTTGTCTTTCCTTAAAAATACACTATGTACACGGGTTTGCACCCTGCTTTCTTCACTTAATGTATCCTGGATTTCAGCCCACACCAGTAGATACGGCGGCTCAGATGGTAAAGAATCCGCCTGCAATACAGGAGACTTGGGTTCAATCCCTGGGTCGGGAAGATCCCCTGGAGAAGGGAAAGGCAACCCACTCCAGTATTCTTGCCTGGAGAACCCCACGGACAGAGAAGCCTGGTGGGCTACGGTTCATGGGATTGCAAAGAATCAAACACAGCTGAGTGACTAAGCGAGTTCTCTTTAAAGACAACAGAATCCATGGTAACAAGGTTATGATTAAATTTTTCCAGTTTTTTAAACTGATGAAATAAACATAAAATTTACCATTTTAACCACTCATGGCCTTAAGTACACTCACACTGCTATGCAGCCATCACCACCACCCACCTCCAGAACTTATCCATCTTCCCCAAGTGAACTCCATGCCCACTCAACGCTACTGTTAACTTTTTTAGGATTGTGAAGGACTCAAATGAGAAATGGGAAGGAACTTGTTTTCTAAAGACTTCCATGTGAGCTATCACGTGCTTCTAAGGTTTGCCTAATACTGAGATTACTTTGCTCACAGAATGTTTACTGACCATCTACCTTGTTCCAGGCACTGAAATCAGGCTGTATGTATAAGCAGACATACAATATATATCTGAAGCCATTAGGCACATTGTTCATAATATAAATCCAGGAAAGGAGTTTGAGTGATGCAGCAAGAAAGGAGGGGAATTCACAATAAAATGTCCCTCCTAAGTTTGGCACCTCTGGATGAGGATGCCTCTCCCTTTTCTATTAATATAAAATGCCCATTAGACTGGCCTGGTGCTTCAGTTGTTACGACTTGGCACTTTGACTGTGGTGGCCTAGGTTCATGGGGAAATAAGATCCCAAAAGCCACACAGCGTGGCCAAAAAAAAAAAAAAACGGGAAAGAAACCCACCCTGTACCCGTCAGCAACTTCTCCTCATTCCCTGATGCCCCAGCCTCTGGCAAGCACTAACCTACATTTTGTTTCTATGAATCTGCCTATTCTGAACATTTCTTAATGGAGTCACACACTCATTCACTCTCTGACCGTCTCTAGTCTGAGTTCTGTTGCCATCTCCCCATGAAAAAGTGTCCTTTGGGGGACTTCCCTGGCGGTCCAGTGGTTAGGACTCTGCGCTTGCAGGGGGTATGGGTTTGATCCCTGGGGGAACTAAGATCCCACATGCCACGCGGTGCGGCCAAAACTGGAAGTGTCCCTTTTCCCTGCTGCCAGGCACAACAAACACAGCTCTGCTTACCTCATTCTCCACCTCTTAGCTGTGTTCAACACAAACCACCACTCTCTCCGGCAGGATTTTCTTCTCTTGGTTTCAGAAGCCCCTTTTTATCCCACCTTCGCACCTACTTTGCACTCACTTTCGCTCCTGCTTGGGGATCTTAATTCCCCAACCAGGGATTGAACCTGCATCCCCTGCACTGGAAGCGCAGAGTCTTAACCACTGGACCACTAGGGAAGTCCCCCATATGTGTTTGTACCCCTTCACATGGCTGGATCTTCCTGATCCCCAGATGCTTGTGGTGTCTCTTCGAGGTTTAGTCCTCAGCCATCAACACCTCAAGGGTAATTTCATTTAGTGTCTTACAGCTTAAAACATCATCTCTATGCTGATGATCCTCAAATATTTATTTCTAGCTCTGACATTTTCCGCGAACTAAAGACGTGACTACTCAGCTGCCTACGTCACCTTGATGTATCTCTTGGGTATCTCATGCACGTGAAACACTCACAGCACAGCATGTGTGTTTTCTCTCCTCTGCCCCCCTCACCCCCGGCCCCAATTTCCCATCATAATGAAAAATGATGCAGTTGTTCAAGCCAAAAATCAAGGAGTCCTCCCTCTGTCTGCCATCTTTTCTACACAACTCATCTACAAATTTGTCAGCTCTACCTCTCCCCATCTCCAGTCTCCCCCTAGTGTAAAGCTGCTAACATCACTGGCCTGGGTGACTGCCACAGCCAGCTCATTCTGCAGCCACATGGCCAGCCTCCAGGCAGCAAGACAGCCTTCTACAATAAACACCACAGCACATCATTCCCCATCCCAAAAGGTTTCAAACTTAACTGCCAAGGAAGCGCTGTCTGGCTCCCACCTCATTTCCCACCACACTGGCCCTTTGTCACGATGCTCCAGCTGAAAGGCCTTTTAGTTCCTCTAGCAAGTGAAGCTCCCTGCCAGGGGGTCTGGTAACTGCACCTGTTAGTGCCCCTGTCTATATGCTCTTTTTTCTTGGGGTTGGAGGGTGGGCACGCTTGCTGCGTGGTATGTGGGATTGTAATTCCCCAACCAGGGATTGAATTTGCACCCACTACATTGGAAGTGCCGAGTCTTAACCACTGGACCACTAGGGAAGTCCCCATGTGCTTTGCTTATACCTCTTCACATGGCTGGTTCCTCCTCACACTCAAGCTTCAGTGCAGCCCTGCCCAGGAGCTCTTCCCAGCCCGTCATCCTAGCCTATTACATATGTTATTTCCTTCACAGCACTTACCAAAATCACAACTACTCCTTTAGTTATTTATTGCCAGCTTTGTGGGGTAGGACCTCCAACACCCGAGAAGGGCCTGGCATACAACTGATGCCCAATCAATAGTTGCTGAATGAATAAATGCATACTGTTCTAAACAGAAGTATCCAAGGTACAAAATTAAATGCAGCGTGACTGCGACAGTTCCTCCTCCTTGGGGACACAAAAGGATAGAACTGTGCATGTGAACTTGCACAGGTTCAAACACGTCCCAGGATCTCACAGGAAAAGTGCTAACACTCCTGAGAAGAGCATCTTCCACACACCTTCTGTACTATTTGAATATGTATATTTTTTAACCATAAGTATGTATCACTTTTGCAATGGAAAAGAATTTAGTCAGAAAGGTAGATGAATTGGTTCTTTTATCTATAAGATTTTTTTTAAAAAGCTTTCCAGTGATTTCTCTGACCCAAGTTGAACACATTCTCAGTGATGACAAACTTGGGAGCTCAGTCATTTGTGGCATGTTACAAATGCAGGCAGGAGGCAGGGGTCCTGGTAAAAACCTCTGAGGCTGGACTCACCCTGACTTCACTCCACATCACTATTTACTGCCAGGGGGCATCAGCACTCACCACGGACGATGTGGCATCCAGGAGGCTCACGACCTTCATCTCAATGTCATTCTGGCCAAAGCTCTTCAGCATCTTCATAACCTCACTCAGCGTCAGCCACTTACAATCCACGTCTTGAATGGAAACAATATAATCCCCTTCCTTGGTTCCTGCCGCCTAAAAAAAATATGATTTCAATACAGGTCAATGTTCTGTTCAGCGAAATCCCTGAAGTAGTTCCCAAGTTCATTAACAAAATAGTTATCTGAGTAAGCTAACTTCAAGAAGGCAAAAATTGTGGTGGGTGCGGAGGGTTTAGGAAGGGGGCCCAAGACAGATGGATACATGAATACAAATAGCTGATATATTTTGTTGTACAGCAGGAACTAACACAACATTGTAAAGCAATTATACTCCAATTTAAAAGGAAAAAAGGCAAAAATTAATTTGTTTCTCTTTGGGCAAGAAAGGTATGAAAGGCCTTTCACATAAAACCAGGCCTTTTACATAGAGGAACCCTAAATCCAATCACCCCATATATTTGTGTGGGCAGCACTCTTTACCCTGATAGCTCAGATGGTAAAGAATCTGCCTGCAAAGCAAAGACCCAGGTTCTATCCCTGGGTTGGGAAGATCTCCTGGTGAAGGGAATGGCTACCCACTCCAGTATTCTTGCCTGGAGAATCCCATGAGTGGGGAGCCTGGCGGGCTACAGTGCATAAGGTCACAAAGAGTCAGACATGACTGAGCAACTAACACTTAACTCTGTACTTTACCAGATTGACTGTCTGCAAATGTGCCGTGAGTTTTGCTTCCAATCTAAAAGGATCCATGCTTACCGCAGCAGAGCAGTAGGGATCCAGGAAGTGGACTTGAACTGGGGAGTTTCCTCTCAGGGTGAACCCCAAGTCCCCTTCTTCTGCAGTGAAGTGAATACTTCGAGGAGCCGTCCATCTCTTGTTAGCCGAAAACACAGATAAAGGACCCTCGGGAATAGAGCATCATTAGGTTAGGATCTGAAGGCTGAGTCAGGCATTTGAAATCTAAAGGAAATGATGCCTTGTCATCCTTTCAGATTTTATTCGGCTCTGCTCAAGAGACTCATGATGCCATCTGTAATAGTCTGCGCTACAACGTCATACAAGAACGTTCATTGCCATTTTCTCTAAAAGATCGATAATATTTAAAACAAAATTATGTCATATAGCATCTCTACATACTTGCAACTTATAAAACAGCCTTTCCCTCAAGTCATTATGAAATAAATGTTCAACATACCAGCTTTTGGAAGAAGTCCATTACTGTCACTTTAGAGAACTGTGGGAGTATAATTTCAACTTCTCGCTCAGTTTTAGCTGGAAAAGAAGGTTAAAAGTAAAAGCATAAATGATTCTGTAATTGAAAGTCATTTTTGAAAACTCAGGCCTAAGTCCACTTGGGTATCTACTATGAGCTATACCCCGCTCGGGGGCTGGGACAGATAGTGACATAAGACAAATTCCCTGCCTTCAAGGGAGCTTATTTGCGTTCTAGTGCAGCATCCCCAGCCTTTTTGGCTCTCGGGACCCATTTTGTGGAAGACAATTTTTCCATGGATCAGGGGGCAGAGGTGGTTTCAGGATGATTCAAGTGTGTTACATTTATTGTGCACTTTATTTCTATTTTATGGCAATCTCAGGATATTCTGCCTTGGCTTAAGGGTTAGGATTCATGCTCCTACAAGAATTTAATGTTGCAGCTGATCTGACAGGAGATGGAGCTCAGGCAGCAATGCAAGCGATGGGGAGTGGCTATAAATACAGGTAAGACTTTGCTGGCTCGCCCCCTGCTCACCTCCTTCTGGGAGGCCTGTTTCCTAACAGGCCATAGCCTGGTACTGGTCTGTGGCCCAGGGGCTAGGGACCCCTGTTCTAGTGGACATCCTCTGATACTCATAAAATCCTACTGAGAAGTAACTTACATTTCAGGTGTGGCTGTTAGGGAAATAACATGCTTTCAGCACTAAGTTTTGGGCAAGACGTGCTTCCTCTTTTCATTATTAACATGCAATGTGAAGATTTCACAGTGAGAAGTGGATTTGCCAAATCATGTGCATAAATAGCTAAAGGGTTCCACCATCAAATTCATGGCACTGCAGCCATGATATTAAAAGACACTTGCTCCTTGGAAGAAAAGCTATGACACCTAGACAGCATATTAAAAAGCAGAGACATCACTTTGCCGACAAAGGTCTGTACAGTCAAAGCTATGGTTTTCTCAGTGGTCATGTACACATGTGAGAGTTGGACCATAAGATTTGGATGTCTAAGTGCCATAGACTTGGACCAAGGCTGAGCACTGAAGAATTGATGCTTTTGAACTGTGATGCTAGAGAAGACTCTTGAGAGTCCCTCGGACTGCAAGGGGATCAAACCAGTCAATCCTAAAGGAAATCAATCCTGAATATTCATTGGAAGAACTGATGCTGAAGTTGAAGCTTCAACACTTTGGCCATCTGACATGAAGAGATGACTCATTGAAAAAGACCCTGATGCTGGGAAAGATTGAGGGCAAGAGGAGAAGGGAGTGACAGAGGATGAGATGGTTGGATGGCATCACCAGCTCAATGGACATGAGTTTGAGCAAACCCAGGGAGATAGTGAAGAACAGGGAAGCCTGGCATGCTGAGTCCATGGGGTCACAAAGAGCTGGACACAACTTAGCAACTGAACAACAATAAGCCAACCCTTCCCACGAGGCTAGTCAGTGTCTATCAAAGGATCCCAGTGCAGGCTAAGAATTCCACACATAAATGAGCCTCAGCATAATAAAGACCACATATGACAAGCCTTGAAAAGTTCTCCTCTAAGACGAGGAACAAGGCAGGGATGCCCACTCTTACAACTTTTATTTTACATGGTGCTCGACGTCCTAGCCATAGCAATTAGACAAGGGAAAAAAAGAAAAATTAGGCATCCAAATCAGAAAGGGAATAAACTGTGTACAGATGACATAATGCCACAAATAGGGAACCCTAATTGTTCAGTAGCTGAGTCATATCTGACTATGCGACCCCCATGGACTATATTTGAACTAACAAATGAATTCAGTAAAGTTGCAGGATACAAAATCAATAAACGGAAATCCGGTATATCTATTCACAAATAACAAACTACCAGAAAGAGAAATTAAGAAAACAATCTAATTTACAATTACATCAAAAATAATAAAATACATAGGAATAAATTTACCCAAGGAAGTGAAAGATCTCTATACTGCAAACTATAAGACACTGATAAAAGAAACTGAAGAAAACACAAATAAATGGAAAGATATTCCATGTCTGTAGACTAGAGAAGTTATATTGTTAAAATGTCCCATTGTTTTATATATATATAATATATTTATATAATATATATGTGGATTTTGTTATAATATCCAAAGCAGTCTACTGATTCAATGCAATCAGTATCAAAAATCCAATGGCATATTTAACAGAACTAGAACAAATAATTCTAAAATTTGTATAGAGCCACAAGAGATCCCAAATAACCAAAACAATCTTGAGATAAAAGAACAAAGCTAGACCTCCAGCATGAAATCATGCTCCCTGATTTCAATTATAGTATGAAGTTACAGTAATCAAAACAGTATCGCATGGGTACAAAAACAGACACACAGATCAGTGAAACCACACCTTCCAAGATCAAGCCTTGGAGGAGGAACAAGGATGCAGGTGGCTCTCAAATCATGCAGTCGGAGGTAACAGACAGATAGCAAAGTACAGATTTCCATTAAAATGGTGGTATGTGGGTGGGTGTGGAGCATAGGGAAAGTGTCAAGGTAAAAGGCAGTTCCTGGAGTCTCCTGACTATCAGTAATGGCTACAACCCCAGAGGAGGTCATGAGACTTTAAGGAAAGGAACTTACAGGAAGGACACCATGGAGAGGAGACCCTCAAGAATGCCAAGAGGGGAGACTGGGATTGGGCAAGGCAGTCAGTGAAGAGTGGGAAGGAAAGTCGGAGCACAACCAAGGTGGCAGGGCCCTGACATCACAGGTGGCGATGTGAGGGGCAGGAGGGGGTCAGCTGCCACTAAAGCGTCAACAAAGACCATAAAGGAGGCCCTAGATCTGAGAATGAGAGGGTAAGGACTCCAGGGCAAGAGGAGCACAGAGCCCTGTACCAATACCCAGCACACAGCCAGGGTTTGCCCCCCACCCCTGCAGGATGAGCACTTGAACAGCCCTGCCTCTCATGCAGCACACTCTGCACTAGCACCCACGCCACTCACAGATGATGTCAGGGGCATCGGTCAAGTTCAGGAGGTCATCATCCTCCCGGAGCTGAGTGTACTTAAGCTGGGACCGCTGGTGTGCCGCAGACAGCACCTCTTGCAGCACCTCGATGTTGCGGAGCTTCTTGCACAGGCTGGCCTCCCTCATGGACTCCTCGTGGTGGGTAATAGCTCGGCACAGATGGGATTTCCCTGCCCACAGAAAATCAACACCACCGGTCACATGTAATAAACTGCAACGTGAGTACATCATGGAGAGCCTGAGTGCCCAAGGATCTGGCCAGAAAGGTGGACATTCTCTTTCCTGAAGGATCCGCCTGAAAGGCTTCAGTCCCTCTGAAATGTGTATGCAGTATGCTCACTTGTGTCTATAGAACTATCATTCAGCAAACATTTACCAAATGTTCTAGGCATTAGAGATAAAGCAAAAGCTAGCCTTTTGCCTTTTCATTGAGTTTGCAAGATAGTGATTGAAGACAGAAAATTAACAAGCAAAGAAATGTATAATGGGTCATGTGGCATTAAGGTTCTGGAGAAAAATAAAGCAGAAACAAAAATAATAGGCAGATGTAGTACTTGAGAAGATGGGGAATGAGGGGTCACCCTTCTGTGAAGTGTGATCAGAAAAGGCCTTTTAGGAGGTTAACTTTTAAGAACTAGAAGAAGAGAGCAAGTGCAAAGGCCCTGGGACAGGAGCATGCCTGAATGTTTAAGGACAACAAGGGGCTTGGAAGTTTCGCTGGGGAGAATGAAGGCTGCAGAGAAGGATGGAGAATGAGGCCAGAGAGGAACAGGGGCCTGACCATGTCCAACCTCAGAAGTGCAGGTGAAGACTCCTATCCTTCTCTGGGTGGGATGAGAGCATGAAGGCTCCTGGCAAAAAGCTGGGCAACCTGTGTGACCTCTCTCTCCTCAAATGAAAACTGGGGATCATACCACATCTATCTCATAGGCTTGGGTGAGGTTTAAGCACGTCAATGTCTGTTAAGCAGGCACCATGTAAGCATGGCTTGGACCAGGGTGGTGGGTAAGAAGTGATCAGATTTGGGATGTTTTTCTAAGTAGAGTCAACAAGATTTGCTAATCAAAGATGGGTGAGAAAGAAAGATGAAGGTAATGAGTGAGTCCTAGGTTTCTGACCTGCAAACCTAGAAAGACGGAGTCACCATCACTGAGATGGGGAAAGTGCATGTGTGGGATGGGGGGCAAGTTTGAGCAGTGGAAGCACTCAGATTTGGACACAGAAAACTTGCTCTGAGGTCTGTTATCAGTTCTTAAGTGTGGCCTACGAAATGTGTGCTTCCAGAATAGGATGACCAAGGGCCATCCCCTGACCACTAGGGAGCTGGAAGACTGCCAAAGCTCTGGCTCCCCTGTGGGCGGGCTGGGAGCACACAGAACCCATGCAAACACAGCTCTGGATGCCCGCTGAGGCTAGAGGACTATGCCTCCTGGTTTCTGAATCCAGAGTGGCTACAATGACTCGGAAGACCTCCTCCTCAGGCCCTGCCCTGGCAACCCGTCTGGGGTTGTCGGTGAGTGGGAGCGGCTGGATGGGTCAGACGGGACACAGCGGGAGGGGGCAGGAGAGCCAACACGCACCCAGTAGTTGGCGCTGATGAACATTCCTCAGGGTGGCCAAGGGTGTCAGTCCCTCTGGCATGTGGCCATAGAGCTGGGACAGGCACTTCTCCTGGTGGTCCTCATCTTCACCAGGCTTCACTGCAACAGGAACCGCAAGACAGATCTTTTCTCATGGCCGTGGCACAGCCTTTATGCACGGTTCCACAGACCCACTGAGAAACCCTGCTTTCAACTGCATCCCCAGCTCAACAAGGCACTTGGGATAATAGGTCTCCTTTCTACCCCTGGCCACACCCAGGCAATCCAGCCCAAGGACTTTGTGCAGGGGGGCCAGTCTTACTTTAGGGGCTTATGATTTGGCTCTGAGCCCCTGATCGCTACCTCTTCCTAGTCACCCATTTCATGAACCTCTAAGCACAGCCCCGCCTTAAACCTCTGAGGGCCTCCCTGCCTGCACCCTCCCTGGCATATGTCCATTCCTAACCTCACCAAACCACCCATCGCTACCTCAACAGCCTCCGTTCCAGGACCCAGTTACATCCTGTTCTCACTCTAGCTGTCCTCTCCCTCCTCGTTCCACTGGAAAAGTCCCCCTCAGAGTCCCAAGTCTAACTCACATGGCAATGCCTGCCTCGGAGGAACCTCCATGACTATACCAAGGACTCCAACCTCTGCCCCATTTGTGTTCCTACCTCAATGACTGAAGCACTGTATTTCTATTGGTTTACCCGACTTGTCCTGCTCAAAAGACTATAATCATCTCAGCAGGAGCAGCTAACACAGACAGCCCTTCACATATGGAGCACTATTCAGCTTTGCAGAGAGGCACTTAGTTTTCACAACAGTTTGTGAGATAGGATCTCTTCATATTCCCGTTTTATAGATGAGAAAACTGAGGCATAGAGCAGCTAAGTAACTTGCCCAAGATCACCTAGCTAGTAAATGACAGAGCTGAGATATGAACCCAGGCAGTCTGGCCCCAGAGGATATTCTTTCCATTACTTGGAGGGCTGCCTTGATGAGCACGAATTGCAACAAAAGTCCCTTCCCCACCTACAACCTCAGATCAGAGCCAAGACTAGGGGGAGGAGAGTCAGGCATTCACCCTAAGCTGAAAACTTAAGCAGGTACCCTAAACCCAGCCATCAAGATATATATGATAGTTTAATATAATGTTCTAAGTATCAAAATTAATGCAAAAATATTCATGATGAACATCAAATTTCCTTTGTTTCATGCTCCAATGTGACTCAGCATACCACTGTTATTATCTGCATCTTCATTTTCTTATATTAATTTGTTTTTGACCACACCACACAGCATGTGGGATCTTAATTCCCTGACCAGGGATCAAACACGAGCTTCCTGAAGTGGAAGAATGGAGTCTTAACCACTGGACTGCCAGGGAAGTCCCAACCGGTGTCTTCATTTATAAAGTTTTAATCACCATGGATTTTTGCCCCAGTTTTGATTCATCTACAATTACATGTTAAAACATTATCTCAATTACTGAGTTCACGGGCATCCCCTTAGATCTTGTGTTTGAGGTGAGTATCTCCCTCATCTAGCCCTGGTCCTAGATTCCAGGTGAAATATCATCTCCATGAAGCTGTCAGCTCCACCCCAGGCAGAAGAAATGCTACCCCCTCCCCCTCCCACAGCAGTACCACATCAACCCTAATCCCACCCTGTGTGACAGCTGCCTTGGCCCATGTGTAACCCCCACCCTCAGCCCCCAAGCTGTTGAGCATCTCTCAGGCAAGCAGAAAGCTCTTGCTCAGCTCAACATCACCCAGAGGCAGCAAGCCTGCAACCCTGACCAAAGCCCGGAGCCCCAGGCTGCCCAGCCTTACGCTGGTGGTCGATGAGCAGGGTGGCTGTGAAATAGTGGGCCAGGGCTTCATAGTGGTGGGCCTTCACGCAGGCCAAGCTGGCCCAGGAGTACGGGATGTTCTCCTTCACCGGCTCCTGGTTCATGGCCGTGTGCAGCTGCCGATAGACCTCTCCCACCTAGAACGGAAGGAACGCTGGGAGTGGGGAGCCTGGCACAGGGGCACTCACGTATCCGGGCTGCAGAAAAAGAGCCCTTTCTTCTCTGTGGCGGCCCCTGCCAGAGGCCGCTCCACAATCTGGGAGCTATTCCAAGGGCTCCCGGTGTTGTCAGTGTCAGAGTTAACAGGGAGACTGGGCCACCATCATTATGCTGGTTTTTAGGCTCAGCTACAGATGGAATCAGTGATCCGTATCTGAAACACTGACTTGCCAACAAAATGCAAGCCAGCGCTCTGGCCAGCCAGGGCGGGCATGCTGCCCAGGTCATGGGCAAGCTGCCGTGGGAAGCCCCTGCTGCCTCCAGTAGGCCCACACCAACACACCCCGCTTGCCCCGAAAGTCGGGGCAACAGCAAGGCTTACCTTGGCCGCTTCCTGGGCCACCTTTACCAGGAGGAAGAACTCGTTCTGGAGCCCAGGGAGGCAGACCTTCTCAAACATGCTTTCCTGGGCTTGTGCCAGCATCATTTTGACCAGCACAGTGAGCATGGCGGGGCTCATGTCGTAACTTGGAGTGTGCGTAAACGTCTCCTTCAGGTAGTTTAAAACCCCTGCAATCGGAATTGTTTTGAGCATTAGTTAGGGATATCCTATTTATTTATTTATTTTATATCCTATTTATTTCACCATGCTGCTCAAGAACATAAAAAATGATGAAGCAAAAATGAAATGATGAAACTAGTGTCCCAAAGAATCTTTAGAAAACTCTGATTCTCAATTACCACAAGAGCCAGCAATTCCACTCTTAGGTATAACCCCACAGAATTGAAAGCAGTGAATTAAACTGATATTTATAAAAGAATGCTCATGGCGGCATTATTCCTAGTAACCAAAAGGTACAAACAACTCAACTGTCCATCGACATTGGAGATTCGGGGATAAATCAAGTGTGGTATATACATACAATGGAATATTTTCAGCCTTGGGACTTCCCTGGTGGCCCAGTGGCTAAGACTTCATACTCTCAGTTTGATCCCTGGTTGGGGAACTAGATCCCACAGGCCGTAACTAAAATCAAAGATCCCTTGTGCCACAACTAAGACTGGGGCAGCCAAATAAATAAAATAAATATATATTTTTTTAAAGGCAAGGGCTTCCCTGGTGGCTCAGTGGTAAAGCATCTGCCTGCCAATGTAGGAGACATGGGTTTGATTTCTGGTCTGGGAAGGTCCCACATGCTGCTGAGCAACTAAGCCCCCTCACCACACCTACTGAGACTGTGCTCTAGAGCCCAGGAACCACAACTACTGAGCTCACATGCTCTAGATCCCATGCTCTGCAATCAGAGAAGCCACTGCAATGAAAAGGCGTTGCTTGGCAACCAGAGTACCCCCCCCCCTCCACCCTCCCTGGCTCACCACAACTAGAGAAAAGCTCACACAACAATGAAGACTCAGCACAGCCAAAAATAAATAAATCAATCTTAAAAAAAAAAAAGTCAATTCTGACACATGGTACAACACAGATGAAGACATCATGCTACGTGAAGTAGGTCCATTACACTGAGATGAGGTATCTGGAAGCATCAAATTCATGGACACACCTGGGCTGGACGGGGGAGGCAGTGGGGATATTGTTTAATGGGACAGAGTTTCTGTTTGGGGTGATAAGAGAAAGTTCTGGAGATAGACAGCTGCATAACAGTGTGGCTATACTTGATGCCAACAAACTACTCCCAAAAATGATTACCATGGTAATTTTGTTATGTATGTTTTACCAGTAAGAAAACTTTTGTTTTCCAGTTCTCTTCCAAAACATTTACATCTGCGTCAAGCAAGGAAACCAGCCTGCTCCCTTGTCCATTCCTGTCTCGCCTGGACCCTTGTGAGAAATTCCGTACGTGACTAGGCATTTGAGGGAAGTGAAGGAAGACAGAATGACTAAAGGGCTCATAGGGGGTCATGCTCAACTCTTAACCTCGGGGTCATTCAGAAATTCAAGGCTTTTCTCCAGGACCTCAGGAAAGATCAACTCAGTCACTCTAGGGGAAATTTTCATGCTATAGCCCTCAGCTAACTTTCTTATGTGTTAGAAAAGTGTCACAGCATTAACTGACAAATCAACCTAGAGCTGAAATAAAACCTCCTAGCAAAATCCCATCTGACTGGTTCCTCTGGTTTTGCTGCAAAGCACAGCTGCCCTGCAGGAGGAAGGCCACGGCTGCAGACTGTTTGCACCTCTCTGGGGCCCACTCTTACTCTGTTCTCAAGCTTCGTTTTGTCCACATCTCTGGAATCTTAGAGACAGGCATACCCGCTTCAGATTCTTCAGAAAGAAAGATGAGCCCAGAAAAGAATTTACAGCAAAAGAATTCAACTCCCACATGAAATTTCAGCGTGGTTTTTTCTCCCAAGGGATCTATCACTTTAACCAAACAGCATCATGACCAGCCCATACAGCAAAGACACGGTTCTTCCCAGCCTTGCAGAGGAAAGTGAGATACCCCCAAAAATTTTCTACCAGGGGTAACACCCCAAAGGAGAGTGACAAGGACCGGCACAGAAAGAAACTTATTATGGAGCCAGCTCGCGGCATCACACGGTGGTCAGCATTGTGGCCGCTTCTGCCTACAATCCCTGTGCCGACTCCTCAGGACACAGCTAGAGGGGAGTCAGCCAGGACCCTTGAGCGCCCATGAGGCAGGCCTAACCACTGCACCCATGGGCTGCCAACCACCCCCCGCTCCTCTATAGGCTGGTGCTAAGTGGCACTTAGCAGGGAGCCAAGAAGAGCAACTATGGGTGAGCAAGTTTCTCAGAATGCACATAACAAAGGCACGGATGGTAACACTCTGATGAGGCACGCTGCCGGATGAAAGAAAAAAGAAAAAGCCTCTATTCTCACTGCTTGAGAAAACTTATTCTCTTCTTCAAAACTGTGTTCAAAGACACAGTTCATCCACTACCATCTGTGGGGCCACTCATTCGGAAAAGATTAATCATTAACCACTGTGTACATGAGCCACAGTCAGACGGAGACGACCGGGTTTGCGCCAAGAAGCAATTTTCCTGATGGGAAGAGCCACCAGCTCCGGAAGCTGGCCGGGCCCTTTCAGGCTCCTCAGGCCAAGCGTGGGCCTGGCAAGGATCCACAGACCCCCTTCAGCTGGGGTACCAGGGCCACCTGGCAGAGCCAGAGCTCTATCTCAGTGCCTCCTTGGAGACGTACCTGCGGCTCTCTGAAAGGCATCCACCGTGCTCTCCAGCCCGGCTTCTGTCTGCCGGTTGCACCGGGTGCCGATCTGTGTATAGAGGGCTCCGATGTTAAACAGGATGCTGGCCTTCTCCAGCAGCAGGTTCTGTTGGCTGACCGGAACCCCGGTGAGGGAGTCATACCTATTTAAAAGAAACATCTTTTGAGACTATGGATCCTTTGGCCAGTGAGTGCCATTTTGGGGATAAAAACGGACAAAACTTATTTCTTGAATAAAACTCAAGGATGCACATGCAATGAGGCTTTTATCTCAAGCAAGACAATGGGCCTGCTCATACTGTTAAGACGCCCACAAGCACAAACAGAAACAAGGCTTCTCAACCAGGATGTCCTTCCGTAGGTGAATGGACATACAAACCGTGGTACAGCCACACAGTGGAAAACTATGCAACACTTATATTAAAAAAAAAAGAAATGAACCATCAAGGCATAAAAAGACTCAAGAAACCTTAAGTGCGTGTGACTAAGTGAAAGAAGCCAATCCGGAAAGGCTACATACTGTATGATTCCAACTATATGACATTCTGGAAAAGACAAAACAATAGAGACAAAAAGAATCAGTGGTTGCCAGGGTTGGGGAGTGCAAAGGGGTGGGGATGCCTAGGTGGAGAGCAGAAGATTACAGGGTAATGAAACTATTCTGTATGATACTATAACGTGGATACATGTCATTGTTGTTTAGTCGCTAAGTGATGTCTGACTCTTTTGCGACCCCATGGTCTGTAGCCCGATAGGCTCCTCTGTCCATGGGACTTCCCAGGCGAGAATACTAGAGTGGGTTGTCATTTCCTTCTCCAGGGGATCTTCCCAACCTGGGGATCGAACCCACGTCTCCTGCATTGGCAGGGGGATTCTTTACCCCTGAGCCATCCTGGAAGCCCATGTGTCACGTACACCACCAACAGGAACTGTAAACAGTGGGTGCTGGGTGATGGGCAGCCAATGTCAGTACATCAACTGTAACAAATGTAACACTCTGGTGGTGGATACTGACGGGAGGAGGTGGTGGGTGTGCAGGGACAGAACTCTCTGTACCTTCCCTTCAATTTTACTATGAACCTGAAACTGCTCTAAAAAATAAAATGTATTTTTAAAAAAATAAGGTTTCTCCTAAATGACATGTAGCAATTACTAACCCCTCATAATTCTTCCTGAGGCTTTAAAGACTCAGGATATGTTTTAAAGTTCATACAATGACCAGGGTATAGATATGGAGCTTCTCCCTAATTCAGAACCAAGAAGTCACATTTGGAGTTTTCACTCATGTGCAGGCAGCTAACACACCTTCAGGAAAAGTCATCTGCCCTTCCTTTCAAAAGCAAGCATCAAGAGCCATCTCCTGTGGTGAAATTTAACTCTGAATATGCTTCTCAGCTACTAGGATTTACTTTCATTTCACATACTCCTTGGGCTTCCATGGCGGCTCAGATGGTAAAGAATTCACCTGTAATGCCCTGGTCAGGAAGATCCCCTGGAGAAAGGAATAGCTACCCACTCCAGTATTCTTGCCTTGGACATCTCATGGACAGAGGAGACTGGTGGACTATAGCCCATAGGGTCACAAAGAGTTGGACAAGACTGAAGTGACGAAGCAACATACTGCTAAGCAACTCAGAGAAGAGGTATAGCATCTCCAAGATATTTCAACAGCACTAATCATGAAAAGTACCAACTCTGGGGAAGAATCAAAGATTCTGCTTCAGCTTTAATAGATCTGATTTACTTCTGTTTGCTGCCCTGGTCACTGGGAGAAAACTTGATTCCCACCGCCATCCCATCTGGGACATTGTCAGTTCTACCTCAGAGCCCTGGTGTTTCCCTCATGATAAAATGAACACACACACACACACACGCAAATGCCTCCTCTCCTCAGCTCACTTGCTCTGAGAAGCAAGAAGCCACTGTCTGTTGGAGCCTTCTCCCTGCGGGTTCCCTTCATAAACAAACCCCGGTTTATCCACACATCTCCAGGCTCTCCTGCATTCGTGGGGCAGCTAGAAGGAGGGGGTGCAGTGCAGAGGAGCCTCGTGTGGGGCTGAGGCTCCCCAGTGTGGCTGGAGACAGAAAGCCCCAGCTCAGGCACCTACCAGGTAAACAGGATCCCCATCTGTCGGGTGGGCGGGAAGAACCGGCTCTCGACAAACCCCAGCTGGATGAAGTAACTCATCAGCAGCTCTACTCCCGCCCCATTTCGGCTGGGCGTCCGACAGGCCTGAAAGGACAGGAACCACCGCAGGGGTGACTGGGTGAGCAGAGAGCAGGTGGACGGGCCAGGAAGGTGCTCACACACAGTTTCTCTGGAGCCTGGGCCCCGCTACTGGCATCATGAACTCTAGGAGAGCTGGGAAAGGCTGGGAGGAACTCATGAGTCCTGGAACCCAGCCCCAGACATGCATGTCTGTCTCCTCTGTGGTCTTCTTTCATGGCAAGAAGATGAATGGATGTTTCCGACAGCCCCTCCCTTTCACCCCCAACCACCAGCGATTCTACCCAGACTTCAGGTGCAACAATGGGATCATCAGAAGACTGGACAACCTCTAATCATAGCCAATATCCTCTCCATCCCGCTGCACATGGAAACGTACTTGTCTCAAATCCATGTCTGTCTCCTATGTGGTCTTCTTTCGTGGCAAGAAGAATGGATGTTTCCGACAGTCCCTCCCTTTCACCCCCAACCACCAGCGATTCTACCCAGACTTCAGGTGCAACAATGGGATCATCAGAAGACTGGACAACCTCTAATCATAGCCAGTATCCTCTCCATCCCGCTGCACATGGAAACGTACTTGTCTCAAATCCATGAGATCTGCTATTTCATCTTCGTAGAGGTAGCTGTCTTCACTGTAATGTTCCAGAATAAAATCCTGCAAGAAAAAGGAGATACTGTAAGATGTGACTCAAAACCAGAAACAAGTAAAATAGTAATATCTAAGGTATGCGTGCATGCTAAGTTAATTCAGTCATGTCTGACGCTTTGCGACCCTGTGGACTGTAGCCCGCCAGGTTCCTCTGTCCGTGGGATTCTCCAGGCAAGAATGCTGGAGTCGGTTGCCACGCCCTTCTCCAGGGGATGTTCCTGACCCAGGGATGGAACCCATGTCTCTTTAAGATCCTGCACTGGCTGGTGGGTTCTTTACCACCAGTGCCACCTGGGAAGCCCATAAAAATACAGGTAGAATTCATAGAAATTTATGGTAAAGTGTAGTGGTGGGATTTATTTTCTTAGTTTTATTTACGTATAGTTAAAATTATTTTGCTTTTGTTGTTTCGGTTAAAAGGGGAAAAAGTGAAAGTGAAAGTCGCGTTTGACTCTTTGCAACCCCATGGACTATAGTCCATGGCATTCTCCAGGCCAGAATACTGGAGTTGGTAGCCTATCCCTTCTCCAGGGGATCTTCCCAACCCAGGAATCGAACCCGGGGTTTCCTGCATTGCAGGTGGATTCTTTACCAACTAAGCTATCAGGGAAGCCAAGTTAAAGGGGAAGTTGTTTTCTATTTAAAAACATATTGGCAGGGGACTTCCCTGCGGTCCAGTGGCTGAGATTCCCAGCTGCCAATGCAGAGATCGGGGTTCCATCCTTGCTTGGGGAACTAGATACCACATGCTATAACTAAAGGTCCCGCATGCAGCAACTAAGAATTCGAATGCCACAACTAAAGATCCTGCACGTCGCAGCTGACCATCTGCCAGGACACAATGAAGATCGAAAACCCACCCTCCCCCCGTGCCACAACTAAGACCCGGTGCAGCCAAATAAATAAATGAATATTTTTTAAAAATTAAAGTGCCTTGGCAGCATAGTGAAGTGACTTGTGTAAGTGACTGTAAGTTCAATGATGCCAGCAAACATCACAGATGTTCAGGGGCTCAGACCTTCATCTTCAGTGGGGACGTCACACATGGCAAAGGCAACTCATATCTGGCCACTGTCATGAGACCTCAGGGTCTGTGATGGGAACCTCTGTGAGGGCACTTCCACAAAGAAAGCACCCCAGTGAGACCCCCAACTGGGTGCAGTGTTTGATGCTGGCTCTGTGAATTCATTCAGTCAGGAGACACATTGGTAAGCACTGGCAGTGTGCCAGGCAGTGTACCCAGTGCTGGGGCTACTTCAGACAAGAAAACAAAGACCCTGCCCCATGGGCCGTATAATCGCACAAGCGAGCACAGACAGTAAGTAGCAGGCATAACCTAGAGCTCCCTGGTCGTCTAGAGGCTGGGATTCACCGCCACGGCCCAGGTTCAATGGTCAGGAAACTGAGCCCATAGGCTGTGCTTCTGCGGCTACTCAGTCACACAGCCGTGTCCGACTCTTTGCGGCCCCAGGGACTATAGACCGCCAGGCTCCTCTGTCCGAGGCATTCTCCAGGCAAGAATGCTGGAGTGGGTTGCCATTTCCGCCTCTAGGGGATCTTTCCCACATAGAGATTGAAACCTCATCTCTGACATCTCCTGCATTGGCAGGTGGGTTCTTTACCACTAATGCCACCTTGGAAGCCCCCGGCCCCCACTGCCTGCTGTAAACTGTGTGGTGTGGCCAAAATTTCTAATTTGAATAAAAAAGAAATAGGCACAACATAACATATATAAGAAGATGGTTAAGTATTACAGGAAAAAAACAACAGGAGTATAATGTGTGTGGAGAATGAGTTCTTGCACAACATCCTCTGTAAGTACTGGCTCTCCCTGGCTGCAAAAAGCTGAAGGGAGCGATTGTTGATTACATTTTCCCAAGCAACTGTGAGTATTCTCTTTACACATTTTCTACATTAAAGTCCCTTCTCCTTTTTATATGTTCAGTGACTATTTACACATGCACCCATACACCCTCCACTTACAGAAATGGGATTGTAGTGAACGAATATACAACTTGGCTTCCCTCTTATTTTTCTTGAATTAGCACTGTATCAAATGTTTTCCTATGCCACAAAGAATTCTATAACACAGCTTCCAATGGTTATATAATCCTTCAAAGGCACAAAGATACCATTCATTCATTCAACAAATAGAGTACCTACTATGTGCTAGCCAATATGTCCCATGATATTCTTAACCCTCCTTTGTTAAACACATAAATCATGACAGTCCTCCTCCTGCACATCTCTGATTAGTTCCTCAGAATAAATCCTGAGAAGATGTTGTGCCAGTTCCAAGGACATGCAGAAGGCTCCTTTTGCTTTTTCACATGTGTCATTTTTAGCCAACTTTTCTGTTCGCTTTATGATTCTATGATTTTCTTTATGACTTTAAGTGCTGATGTTTGGAATCAGCTCCTCTACTAACAAAGCGACACTGTGTATATTTGAAATGGTTTTCAGATATGATCAATTATGTTACTAGTGACGATAATTATGGTGAGGATGATCTGGGAGACAAAGTTCCTCTAGGGCTTCTCTAGGACTGCATCCATGAGAGCAGCATTGAAGGCCACCACTCAGGTGACTTCCCTGGTAGCCCAGAGCTTAAGAATTTGCCTTCCAACGAGAGGGATGTGGGCTTGATCCATGGTCAGGGAACTAAGATCCCACATGCCTCGGGGCAACTAAGTCCACAAGCCCCAACTACTGAATTCTCTGCTAAGTGAAAGATCCCACACGCCACAACAAAGGCCCAAAGCAGCCCAAAATAAATAAATAAACAAGTATTAAAAAAAAAGAAGACAAAGAAGAAGGCTTGTTCTACTTGATGTTAAAACACATGAAAAATGGACAATGAAACCAAATATGGAGCAGAAACAGCAGCAGATTCGAGAATCAGGTATATAACATAAGCCCACCATTCAAAGAAGACGAAAAGCCTGGAGCATCCACCAGGTCCAGGCAGGAAGGAGGGTACACACAGCCGTTCCTGATGTGAACTGAAGGGAAGAACTCTTACAGGGATGTGGGTAGGGTTATGGGAAACCACAGGGATGGCGTGGGACCTCCAGAGCCATTAGAACCACAGAGCTTAAGGGCCAAAGGGGAGAAGGAGTTAGGAGAACTTGGAGAGGCAGCTGCCTGAGGCGAGGACCCAAACCAGGACGTCCTCTGGTGGGGTGGGGTGGGGGGGAATGCAAAAGGTAGCCAGCTGAGGGAACTGGGGAGTTAAAAGCCCCGCCTTCCCTCTCCTCCCCTCCTCTCATCCCCTCAGCCACACCCAGCAGGAAGTCAGAGAGCAGGAGCCTGTGCTGCCTTCCACACAGAACAGGAGGGAGGGGACCGAGGGGGAAGGAGGGGCAGAGAACGAAAGGACAGCATCCCACATGACACATGGATTCTGTTCACATAGCTCAGGGGAAACTGGCCACCACTGTGGTGAAAATAAAAACTTGCAGCCCCAGGGCTTCCCTGGTGGGAAGCCAGTGGTTAGGATTCCACCTTGCCATGCAGGGGACACCATGAGTCTGATCCCTGGTCCAGGAAGATGCCACCTGCTGCCAGGCAACTAAGCCTGTGCCACAACTCCTGAGTCGGCACTCTGCAGCCCTTGAGCCACAACTGCTGAGCCCACAGGCAGCCACTCCTGAAGCCCATGAAGCTTAGAACCTGTGCTCCACAACAAGAGAGGCCACCCCAGTGAGCAGCCCCCCATCACAAGTGGACAGTAGCCCCTGCTCCCCGCAACTAGAGAAAGCCTGCATGCAGCAACAAACACCCAGCACAGCCAAAAAGAAACTAAAAAAAAAAAGCACCCTACCTCTCATTACTCACCCCCCAAACAAATTCCAGATTGACTAGAGACTTAATGTTAAAAATTAAACAAAGCACTGGAAGAAACTACAGCAAAATAAATGTTTCCTCCTGGTGTGGAGAATGCCTTTCAAGGCAGGGCTGTAAAGGGAAGAACCGTGAAGCTTAACAACATAAAATCTGTTTGAAAAAAAAGATTTTATTTTTTAAACTGTTATGGCTTGTAAAACAAGTTAAAGGCGAGAACATACTGGGAGAAATACTTGCAATCTACATTACCATGGATTACTCTCCTTCATATAAAAACGAACTCAAGAGCAACTCTGTGTGGTAAAGGAGACAAAGGCTAGAAATAGGTATTTCCAAGAGGACACATGTAAGGAGCAAATAAACAGAAGTGAGGATGTATTCAACTCTAGAATGTATACAAACAGTAATGATACCATTTTTGCCTGACCTCCCAAAATCAAAATGATCAATGATACCCAGCGTAAGTGACAGGGACAGAGTAAAGGACAAAGTAGGTGATTAAACAGTTAATCCCACTAGGGGACTGTAAGTAGAAAAAATATGGGAGACCCCTGTAAGTTAATGATTACTCAGAAAACGTTTAACAACAAAAGCAGGCAACAGGAGCACAAGGCATGCCCCAAAACAATAAAACAATAGTGGCATGAGACCCATATCCTGCCTGGTGAGCTCAGTAAGTTAATGATTCCCAGGACGTGCTCTCTGAACACATAAGAAAACAATAATTTGTGGACCTAACCTGACCATGTAGGAAGCAGAAAACTCCCCACTCTACCTGGAGGAGCAGCTGGTGATGGAAGCATGATGTCTACTCAAGAAAGACAAAGTTCTTCTCCCTCTCCCCACTTCTCCTTTGATTACAGAACTGTGGTCCAGTAAGTTTTCAGGGCAAAGTATTTCTTGCCTGCCTGCTTGTAAACTTCACAAGCATCCTATTCTAATGAATCACGTCTTATCTACCTCTTTGCTTCTCACTGAATTCTTTCCTGTGCTGAGACACAAAGAACTGCAGTACCAGAGCTCTTGGGATCCCCTGAAATGACACAAATGGTTTCAGATGGCGACTGCAGCAGGATTGCAGTAAGAAAAGAAAAGAAGGTCTGGGGTCAGGTCCTAGAAGGCTCATGGGATGCCACGAGCCAAGAGTTTGGAGGAGCATA